TTCTCAAGCTGCCATTTGAAATCTTCATTTCTTTTACTTTATTGTAATACTGTACCTTGTCTTCTCAAGCCACCCTTTGAAATCTGTTCCACACTTTTACTTCATCATTTCTTCTGTTCGCTTTAGCTACTCTGCATTTTAGAGCAAGTTTAAGAGTCTCTCCTGACATCCAATTTATTCTTTTCCTTCTTTCCTGTGTTGCTAGTGCTATGCTGGAAGATGAGCCTCCTAGGTTGGAAGGTACTCAAAATACGACCAGGGAAAAGCTGCCTCGTCAAATTAGAGTCAACCTTAACGATGCTGTTGAAGTAACGCCTCCAGGATATCCATTAGTAATCGCAACATGGAATGTACAAAGTATGAATGTAGGAAAATTGGAAGTTGTCAAAAATGAGATGGAATCCATCAATGTTGATATCCTAGGCATTAGTGAGCTGGAATGGGCTGGTACTGGCCATTTTGAATCTGGTAATCATATGGTCTACTATTCTGGGTACAACGCTTTGAAGAAGAATGGTGTTGCATTCATCATCAAAAAGACTATTTCAAGATCTATCCTAAAGTATAACGCTGTCAGTGACAGGTTAATATCCATACGCCTACAAGGAAAACCAGTTAATACTACTATTATTCAAATTTATGCACCAACCACTAATGCCACAGATGAAGAAATTGAAGATTTTTACAAACTACTACAGTCTGAAATTGATCAAACATGCAAGAAAGATGCATTGCTAATTACTGGTGACTGGAATGCGAAAGTTGGAGAAAAAGAAGAAAAACCAGTAGCTGGAAAGTTCGGTCTTGGTGATAGAGATGAAGCTGGAGATCGCATGATAGAATTCTGCAAGACCAATGACTTATTCATTGGAAATACTTTTTTTCAACAACATAAGCGACGACTATACACGTGGGCATCGCCAGATGGACTACGTAGGGATCAAATTGCCTACCTCTGTGGAAAAATACGATGGAAATGCTTAATGTCATCAGTTAAGACAAGGCCAGGGGCGAGCTGTGGAACAGATCATCGATTGCTCATGTGCAAGTTTGGCTTAATGCTAAAGAAAATCAAAGCAAATCCACAACGGCCAAAGCATGACCCTGGACGCATCCCCCCTGAATTGACACCGTCTCAAGAATAGATTTGGCACACTGAACACTAATCACTGAAGACCAGAAGAGTTGTGGGAAGACATCAAGGATGTCGTACGTGAAGAAAGTGAAAGGTCATTTAAAAGACAGGAAAGAAGGAAAAGGGCATAGAACTTTTAAAATAGCAAAATCTTTGGCTTTTAGTGGTTGGGTGGGAGGGAGGAGGAAAAGAGGACACAAGGCTTAGAGGACACTGAGCATCTGTTATTGGTGATGGAAAAATTTGGAAACAGATAAGAGTGATGGTTGAACAACATGAACATAATTCACTGAACTATACATGTCAAGATTGTTGAAATGGCAAATGTTGCATATATACTTACTACAATAAATTTTTTTTAGATCTTTGGTTTTAATCTATTAGACTGTGTAATCTAGGAATTCTAACAGATTCATTGAGTTATCCCTTTGTGTTGTGTCTGCAAAAGAGAATTGGATTATATGGCTGAAGGAGTTTATTACCCTTCCCCCTAAAAAATTACTTCATTTTATTATGAAAAATTTTCATCTAAAACTATTGAAATGAGATACAATTAGAAGGATGCCATGGGGGTTAGTAGTTCAGAGTTTGAGTGTGCTTTTTAAATCTATAAAGATTTTTATCCTTTGCCTCCAGCTGTTGAGGATTTATCCACATTCACCAAATTCATGAAAGATTATCACAAATAAGTAACAATTTACTTTTCAATGGGATGTACATCATTTATAGTGACCTGAATAGTAATACTTTTATGTTCTCCACATTACTAAAAAGCTGAAATCATTCTCTTGGGGTGAGCAGAGAAATTAGGGCCAAGGGAATCAAATAGAGCAGAGGTCACAGATTGGTGACCTAATAGCTAAATCTCTCACCAGATTATTTTGTTTGGCCCTTAAAAGAATTTTAATTCAACATTTAAAGTTTAGGAGATAACATCAAAAATAACAAGATTATCATCTTTTTAGATCTGAACTTTAGCTAGCGCTGGGCTTGTACTTTTATATAAATTCAAATTCGTCTGGTCATAAGTATTACTACCACCTTTGAAGGAGCAGACATTCTTTTATTTACCACCCGTCTGTGTCAGGCTTAGTTTTCTCCTGTTGGGAGTAGAAGAATATAGTGGAAAGAGTACACTTGACTGCAGGAGAATGGGAGAACTGATTTGTGATACATAGGATGATACTGTTGGAATATTCTAGGCCTGTGCTGTCTAATATGATAGTCCTTAGCCACATACGGCTATATTTAGCACTTGAAATGTGATTAGTGCTACTGAGGAAACTGAATTTTTCATTTGAAAACTGATAGTTCAGTTGTTTTATGTTCTCTAAACAAAATACACATCAGACTTTGAAGACTTAGTATGAAAAAAGAAATATAAAATACTTCAATTTTTTATATTGATTATGTTGAAATGACAGTATTTTGGGTTAAATGTACTACTAAAATTAATTTCACCTGTTTTTACCTTTTTAACATGGCTGCTAGAAAATGACCTTACATTTTTAGCTTGCATTATATTTCTATTAGGAGACCTGGTTGTCCAACGGTTAAGCATTCTGCAGCTAACCAAAAGGTTGGCATTTCTGACCCACCCAGTGACTCCGTGGGAGAAAGATTACAGAAGCCTAGAAAACCCTGTGGGGCAGCTCTGCTCTATCACATGGAGTCAGTATGAGTCGGAAATCGACTCCACGGCACCCAACAACATATCTCTGTTGGACAGCAGTGTCCTAAAGGGCTGCAAGTAAAATTGTTCCAAATGGCAGCAGTATAGATGGGCTTAGGTTTGATTATTGTGTGCCTGTGGGATGAAGAACTCGATTAAGCCTTTTGTTTTCTAAAACACATAAACGTGCAAATGAAGTGGAAACCCAAAGGTCCCACCCTGATGACAAGCCTCTGGAAGGGAGAGGGACATGATGGGTTCAGTCATACATAGTAATTGATTCATGCATATGCATTGATTGAGGCTCCAGTAACTATTATATATAAGAGACCCTGGACCTTGGAACTTCTTGGGGGGGGGGGGCAGTCTCCTGGAGTGGCAAGAACATCCATGCATAAGAGACCATGGCACATCCCTAGGGATAATGAAAGTCTGATGTGCTGTGGCCTCTCCACACCTTGCCTGCTCCGTTTCTTTGCTTGTATCCTTTCTGGTTATAATCAGTGGGTAACTACGTATAGGTAATAGTCTCCATAAATTGTGGGAGCTATTAGAATTAATGAATCCACAGGAGCTGATGAGCCAGCAGGAGCTGGCAGGACAGAGTGTTAACTTGTGAAGATCCCAGCTCTGGATGGCTGGTGGTCAGGCAAAGGCCGCGTAGGCAGTCAATGAAAAAGGACAGAGTCCTTCTAGCTTGTATCCTAGCCCAAGGGGGTGGGGGTGGGGGGACAGGGGGAGGCTGGCTAGTCTGAAGTTCTGCAGACTTCTGAGTCTATTGCCCGTACCAGATGACCTGGCTCAAGGTGGCTGGAGGTGGGAGTCTGCTTAACTCTGGATGGTTAGGGTCAAAGAAAGGAAGTGCCATGAAAGTGGCTAGTGATGAGGATTGGAGATGTGGGAAGGTGAAGCCTGGGTCCAGTTCCAGGTGAGAATTGGATTTATGGTGACCCTTGCTACTCAGTGATAAAAGTGAGGTTTGTCTACCTTGCTCCTTTAGTAGTATCTCTTTACAAAAAGTAAATTGGGATAACTGGCAGATGATTTACCAGGTACTTTCCTAAGCACTTTGTGTGTAAATCAGGGTTTCAAACCCAAACAGAACCAAAAACCAAAACAAAACCAAAAAAAAAATTTTGCTGGAGTGAAACAGAAATCCAAATTTAAAAAAATGTATTTTTCTGAACCCAAACTGAAATAAACTGTTATTTTTTGACTCTGCTATTTTTGGTTCAACAATAATTTTTAAGTTGTAAGCAAGACTATTGGACCATTTATGTCTGATATGCATCTGGTGCCTGTGTGTGCTGAATGCTTCTCTTGCACATGGCTGCTAAGGGCATAGTTCATTGCTTCAGCAAGCGACGTTGTGCAGCCACAGCTCTAGGTGATGACTGCTCTTATGTGAGATAAGAGATGATTCACAGGTCAGTCAGAATACGCTATTGCCGCTCCATGCTTGACCTCTCTCACAGTAATGCAAGTTGTGCCTACCGAAGATGTAAGAAACACTTGGCGATTGAGACCACTCGTAGTCAAATCTGAAAGAGCTGATTAAACTGCATTGAGTTCTGAACAGAGTTTCATGTGAACGGAAATTTGTCAGGTGAGTGCAAAACATTTTAAACGTACATTATTCACATTTTTGAAGTGTGATGTTTAAATTCAAGAAATAAAAAATACAGTATAATTTTTTGATGATTCAATTCTTGTATTCAGTCTTGATTTAAATGTACTATTACACATTGTACTTAAATGTTTAATTTGATATTTATCTCACAAATTGAAGTGTTAACAACATCAACAAATATGGGATGAAAATTGATGTTTCGACTGCGATATACCGATATTTCGCTGAAAACAACTTGATGGCATCACTATGAAGTGAAATTTTTTTTCAAAAGTTGGTGGATAAATGTATGAGAATGTTGTCAAGTGGGACTTCAAATAGAAGAAATTGTCAAACCTTGTGAATGTAAAATCAAAGTTATTCCGGTTTTTCTAATATACTGACAATACATTGCTAGAAGCATTTTAATCTGTACTGGCTTTAATTCATTTCTACAAATGTATTTATGCATTCTATTCTCTTTATATAGATCAAAGTCTAAGACTTGTTTTTACTGTAACATAATACATTGATGATAAAATATGCCCTAATGTTAATATTACTTCTTATCCCTTGAATTCTAGTATGGGATGAACCAGAGAAAATCCATGTCGAGAATTTTTCAAGTATGAAAAGATTGAAAATAAAAGCACGTGTAAAATTGTAACACAGATATGGTGGGAGACCATGCAGCAAATTTAGAGAGGCACTTGAAGCGTCACCATATGGATAAATACAGTGCAGTGCAAAGCAAGAAGACAAAGAAGATTGAAGAAAGTGTCAGAAGTGTTCCGAATAGGCAACAAAAAACATTAGATGAATTTGTTTTACCAGAATGCATTAAGGTGAAATTAGATAAACAGTTGTCAATGCATATGTTGAATTAGTTAACGTTTGTTCGTTTGAGTTAATTGAATATTCAGGATTCCGTAAAATTTTAATATCCAGTTATTGCTTCAGTTGGTCAAAATTTTTCAGTCAATTCAGAGACTATTAGAGAAATGATACCTAACTTGCCCTTAAAACTAAAAAAATTGGAATAATCTAGGAAAACGAATATTCTCTTTGAAAGTTGATATTGCCAGTACATTGAGTCGGTCATTTGTAGGAATTAATGTTCATTTCACACAAGATGGTAAGATACATCTGTTGACACTGGGAATGACACACAGGTCTGTAAATAAAAAACAGTATATTAAGTTTTAAAGAAGTACATTGATTTACAACAGGTTTATTCTATAACCATGGAAAATGGCTCCGATACGATTAAATTTGATTTTCTCAGAAATGATAGTGAAATCAAATGGCAAATGTCAGGGCAAAATGACAGTTTTGAAGACTGATTTAGTACACTCTGACTTGCAGACATTAACCATTGCAGAGTGTGGTGAAAGCAACAAGGTTTATAAGAAAAGATTGGTATAAAGTGCTGCACACACAGACTTCAATTAGTTATTAAAGACACAATAAAGGATGCTGAACTGAGAGAATTTTTAGGAGAATGTCATGAATTCATTTGAATACCTTGTATTCTGACATTGTCTACCAAATTTTTGGAAAATAATTTAAACCTATACTGGAATGCCCAAGAAGATGGAACAGTATATACACCTGTTAGATACCTTACTTAAAAAAACCCATTGGCAATGAGTTGATTCCGACTCATAACGACCCTATACGGCAGAGTAGAATTGCCCTATAGGGTTTTCAAGGAGTGGCTGGTGGATTTGAATGGCTGGCCTTTAGGTTAGCAGCTGAGCACTTAACCACTGCACCACCAGGGCTCCAGAAAACTTACTAGGGTGCAAAAATCTCTGCGATGTGTTAGCTGAGAATAATATGAAATAGAACTTTTCAAATGATAAATGGGCATACGTCAAATTAATTTTAGAAACTTTAAAACCTTTAAAGAAAGTTACAGTAAGATTGCAAAGTGAACAATTAACCATGAATGATGTTTTGGGGATGTGGTTGGAAACTAAGCTAAAATTAACAACTCTTAATACATTTGGAAAGACACTGAAAAATTTAATGTCAGGGAAAAAACTATCATTGAAAATGATAGCATATTAGGAGCAGTTTATCTAGATTCTCATTATCAGATTCTAATTAGTTCTGAATTTAAGGCGAAGGCCGTATTTTAAAAAGCATTTGGGAAATGATAGAAAATCTGAAAAAGCAATACTGAAAGTGTTAACAAAGGAAAGCAATTCAGGAAATAGTTTTGTTTCAAATGATGTTGGTGAGATGGAATTATTTCCCAAAATGAAAGGAAAAAAGTTAAATTGACATCAAACAACTACTGTCAATATTGACTCTATATTAAGAAGCTTTGATGGTGTGTGAATAGTTGAGCGGAAAAAAGAGTATTCTTAAATTTTGGCATGAAAACCGTTCACAGTATCCCCAGTTTTATGAAATTGCTACGGGAGATTTGGGTACACCAGCTACTCAGGTCAGTGTTGAGAGAGCTTTCTCAGGTTTGAAATTCATCTTGTGAGACGACCAAACCAAAAAACCTGTTGCCGTCGAGTCTGTTCCAACTCATAGTGAGCCTGTAGGACAGAGTAGAACTGCCCCATAGGGTTTCCAAGGAGCAGCTGGTAGATTCAACCCACTGACCTTTTGGTTAGCAGCCACCGCTCTAAACCACAGGGATAGCTTAAATGAAAAAATATTAGAGGACATTCTTTTAATTAGGGGTAATTATGGTTTATTGCAATGATGTTTTCTTAATGAACTGTGTACTTGTGTATGAATTAAATCTATATTTGTAATAAAATGTTTATTTTATGTAATGTTAAGGCAATTCGTCAGAACTGGGGTGAATATTATATTAAAGTATTAAATATTTTATTGTGCTTTGCCTTTATGTATTGATGTATTAAGTATAATAGCATACTTTGTATTTCTAGTATTTCATGAATAAATTTTTATCCATTTTACGTGCCTATTGTTAGTAGTGAAATGTTACCTACATCAAAATTAAGTTTATTTTCAGTGTATTTTATAGTACTGAGAATTTCCTACTAAAAAAAGTGTTTCAGATCTTCAATTTAATATTTATACAGTGTGTTAGGAATGTTTTTATCACAATACGATCTTTAAAATGACTGTACCAGTGAATTCTAGTATATTTTAAAAAATAGAATTTAAAAATATATTTTCATCATATTTTTCATTGTGTTGAAATGTTTTGAGACAGTGATTAAAATTGAACATCATTGTCATTTTAAGTTTAATTATTAATGTGTAGAAAATAGTTTAATACTACTTTCAAAACATTTAAAATTTTTGGGATGAACAAAATTCAGGTTAATATAAAAATGCAATATTATTTGCAGTATAAGGAACGAATTTGGTAGCCATATTTCTTCGGATGAAATTGCTCCAGGTTATGCATTTGCAGAATGTACATTTGAGATGGGAGAGTAAAAAACAGGTTCGAACATGTTCAGTCATGGTTGATGAAGTGAAACTGGAACAGAGCCAAATTTTTAAAATTTTAGTGAACTGGAGCAGAAAAAATTACAGTTTGAAGCCCTGGAATAATTTCATTGTATCCTTGCAAAAATTAATAGGTTAGTGCTGTTATCCCCATTTTACAGTAAGGAAACTTGCCCAAGGTTATATAATTAATAGGTTGGCCACAGGAGCAATGGTTAAACACTTAGCTGCTAACCTGAAACGTTGGCAGTTCCAACACCCAGCAGCTCTGCGGGAGAAAGACCTGGTGATCCGTTACCCTAAAGATTACAGCCTAGGAAACCCTATGGAACAGTTCTACTCGGTCACATGGGGTTGCTATGAGTCAGAATCAACTCAATGGAACCCAACAACAGCAAAGTGGGATAGCCAGGATTTGAACCTAGGCTCTTTGGCTCCAGTAACAGAACTCATCGGTGCTGTCTACTGTGTCTCACCTCTCTTTCTCTCCTTTTAACTACAAATGGAAATTATGGCACTAATTTCTTATGCCACAGAAGAGCTAGAGGTACCTCAAGGGTGCATCAGCCTTTTTTCCCTTCCATAGAATTCTCTTAGCAAGATTGAGTATGACTTAACATACATAATATGCAGGTATATAAGATAACATAGTATGCAGAAAACCATATTTGATAATTCAGCTACTGCATTGGATTGAATGGTGGCCTTCTAGATTGAAATCCTTGAGGATACGGCCGCCACATCTTGTTTTATTTCTGGCACTTAGCACAATGCCTAGCTAGTTAGCACAGAGTAAATAGTCGACTTTATTAAAGGAATGAATGAGGCCTTTAGGTTTGGTATCCATTTTCTTTTCTAGGCTCAGTGATTTTGGAGGATTGGAGGAAGAACTAAATAAGATGGAATAAAATGAATAGACAAGTAAAAAGTGACAATAATTACAATTTTATTTGAATAGTTGCCTGTAAGTGCATTCTTAATACAGTTTTTAATCACTCAGCATCAGTGTATCTACACTGCACTCTACTTCCATTAAATTGTAAACTCCATAAGGATGTGGAATACTGATTTTGCATATCGTGTATCCCCAGTGCCTAAAAGTGAATGTCAGCTTCCATTTTTCCTTACTGTAAGCAGGCCTGTATTTTGGGACTATTTTCTTCCTACTTGGCACCTACCTCTTATACCTTGCTCACTATTAAACCCTTTTCTTAATTACGTCAGTCTTCTTTCCAACCACAAATTTCTGCCAGTTGAGTTTACGTCACAATTAGAATATAAGCTCCCTGAAGGCTAATTTACATAACAATTAGAATGTAAACTCCCTAAAGGTGAGGATTTTTGTCTTAGTTTACTGGTTTGTTTCCAATCAATGCCTAGAACCAAAACCAAACCAAACACACCACTGTCAAGTTGATTCCAACTCCCAACTCTATAGGACAGTAGAACTGCACCATAGGGTTTCCAAGGCTGTAATTTTTACGGAGGCAGATCTCAAATCTGCTCCTATGGAGCGGCTGGTTTGAACCGCCAACCTTTCTGTTAGCAGCCAAGCACTTAACCATTGTGCCACCAAAACTCCTAGCAAATAGTAGACACCCAATAAATGCTAAAATGAGCAGCTGCCATCTTTGCTGAGTGCTGAATGAGGCACAGTCAATGACTTCAATGGGGAAGAGTTGATAAACTAGTCTTCCCCATCTATATCCTCAACCCTCATGGTATGGTAAAGGCAGAGTATGCGTCTTGGTGATCAGGATATATACCACAAAAGGTAAGGTGCAAAGCCAGGGGTGCCCCCCCATTCCTTCCCCCATTACATTAATAACTGTCTTAGGCTGGGTTCTCTAGAGAAGGAAAACCAGTAAACCATATAAATATATATAGAGATATTAAGGAAATGGCTCATCCGGTTGTAGATGTTGAAACGTCCCAAGTCTGTGGGTCAGGCTGGAGGCTTCTCTTGATACAAGTAGCCACAGCAGCTGGTGAACCCACAATCAGCAGGTCAGATGGGCTCTTGCTCACAGTCTACATAAACCAACCAATCCCAAGAATGGCAAGCAAGCTGCTAGCTCAGGTTCCAAGAACTGGAGATCAGATGAACAGGAGCCAGCTGCAGGATCCAGAGCGAGTAAAAGCCCACAAGCCTTGCCAGAAAGTCCACTTATACTGGATGCAGGCCACATCCCCAAGGAAACTCCCTTCCAACTTATTGGCTACTCACAGCAGATTCCATCATGGAGGTGATCACATCATATGACTGCCAAACTACATCATAATTGTCAAACCACTTAGAATCATGGCCCAGCCAAGTTGACACACAACCTTAACGATCACAGTCCACCCTTTATCAACTTGGCACCTGTACACATCTCCTTAAACCATACATAATCTCTGAATAAAGACAATTATAAGGTCACACTTGAGCCTAACGTGATACAATGAACACATGTACAACCAAAAATGCACTAGCCCTGTCTACATCTTACATTTTATAAGTGAAGAAAACAAAAATATTTGATGCACACGTACAAAGCAGAAATATAACAATTGCAGTCCTCATTTCTGCAACTGGTCACTTGGTTGTAACTGGTATTTAGAACTACCTTCTTCTAACACCCATTCTGTATTCTCTTTGCCTTCAACAAGCACCTCAGCTGGTCACGGTTATTTTCCTGGTGTGGTGACCCAAACCTTAATTCCTGAAGGGTCTGGGCTATTCATTAATAGTCGTGTCAGAATTGGGTTGCTGTAGTTTTCCATTGACTTTAATCACAGGGCATAGTAGTACTAAAGGACACCCTAAGGGATCTCCTGCATTCCAGACATAATCTTCTTTACCTCCATTATGTATTGTCAATCTGGTTTCCTCTTGGTAATCAGCATCAATCACAATAGCCAATATGGTAACTCCCTTTTTTGCTTGTTGATCCACAGGCATAAGGAGCCCAAAGTGCCCGGGTGGCATTCTTCCGTTTAGTGGAATCAGTGTGTGTCTCCAGGTGGGAGCATTCCTCCCTTTGGAACTAAGGCCTCTAGACCTGCAGAGCATAAAGTCAGGGGGACAGGAAGCAAAAATTTTGTGAGTGGGTCACTAGGGGTAATAATGAGTGGTGCCACTCCCATTTCCACCCCTTGATTCCTGGACCCATGAATCCTGGCTATGGAAGAAATAACACCATATATTGGATGCTGGTATAGAGCATATGCAGCCTCCTGGAGACCATTGCCCAACCCTACCACCTAGCTGGAGTTGTAATTGTGCCTTTAGAAGGCCATTCCATCGTTCTATCAAGACAGCTGCTTCAGGATGATGGGGAACATGGTAAGACCAGTGAATTCCATGAGCATGGGCCCGCTGACGCATTTCATTTGCTGTGAAGTGAGTCCCTTGATCCAAGAGATGCTGTGTGGGATACCATGATGATGGATAAGGCATTCTGTAAGTCCGTGGATGGTAATTTTGGCAGAAGCCTTGCATGCAGGGAAGGCAAATCCATATCCAGAGTAAGCGTCTATTCCAATAAGGACAAAACAATGCCCTTTCCATGATAGAAGCAGTCCAATGTAATCAACCTGCCACCAGGTTGCTGGCTGATCGCCTCAAGGAATGGTGCCATACTGGGCACTCAGTGTGGGTCTCAGCTGCTGGCAGATCGGGCACCCAGCAGTGGCTATAGCCAAGTTGACCTTGGTGAGTGGAGGTCCATGTTGCTGAGCCCATGCATAACATCCATCCTTGCCACCGTGGCTACTTTGTTCATGAGCCCATTGGGCAATAATGTGACTGGCTAGGGAAAGAGGATGACTGGTGTCTTAGTCATCTGGTGCTGCTACAACAGAAATACCACAAGTGGATGGCTTTAACAAAGA